GAATATTGCTCTCCCTTGTATAATGATAAATCGGCCACTTTTTTGTGGTGGCACTAGAGCTTCTGGAAGTGGCTAAGGGAATTGAATATCTGTTATTAAAGTATTAACTGTTTTTTATCCTGTGCCCTGCAGCCAGTGCGTTGGGTCTTAAGTACAATGCTCCTTGATTTTTTTCTCTCCCCACCCCCATTTTACTGAGATGTAATTGACATATAATGCATTACTTTGCCAATGTAGCTTTAACAAATGAAAAGACTCGAGTAATATTTCTTTAGGTTATTTCTTTGTGATTCCCATAGGATTGTTGTTCAAATAAGATATCAGGGAAGGGGAAAAGAAAGGGAAATAAGTAATCATTTCTACCTCTTCAAACTCTGCATCTGTTTGATTCCAATTTTAAGAGGGTAGCTGAGGTTTGGATAATTCCTCAGATTTGTTGGCGAGGCTGACTGGAGGTTTGGACCAGGGTCGAGGCCAATAGGGTAAAGCTGGCTCAGTTCCCTGAGTCTTAAAGACAGTCAAAATTAGGTTTGATTTCTCGGGGTTTCTTAGAGCCAGAGCCTCCTCAGGTTCAAAACTGAATCTGACAGCCCAAATCCTGTCAGTTTCTGGGAGTGATGGAGTGGTGAAAGCATTGACCAGAAGGTTCTTTGCTTGTTTTACACATTATGTCTTATTTTTTTAATATATTTTATTGATTTTTTACAGAGAGGAAGGGAGAGGGATAGAGAGTCAGAAACATCAATGAGAGAGAAACATTGATCATCTGCCTCCTGCACACCCCCCACTGGGGATGTGCCCGCAACCAAGGTACATGCCCTTGACAGGAATCGAACCTGGGACCCCTCAGTCCGCAGGCTGACGCTCTATTCACTGAGCCAAACCGGTCAGGGCTACACACTATGTCTTTACTTGTACACATTGATGGGTTTTAACAGACTTCTAATCTCAGCGCCTGTGTGGAATAAACATGACATCGTTAGTCCCCTTTTTATGGGTGGGTCTGTCCATGCAGCCAGTGAACACTGAGCATCTACCGTATCCAGGCACTTAAAACATAACCCCCCAAGCCCTCCCAGCAGTCCTGAGTGATGGACATTATTTACTTGGTTCCACGCATGTGAGGAGCCCCAGGCTCCAGAGCCAGGTAATTTCTCTAGGATTACAGTTAGGAGTGGCAGATTGGGATTCAGTGAGTCCCGCCCTCTTATTTTTTAGTCTTTTTTTTTTTTGACTACACATCCCTCTTTCTAAGGAAATCACAGTTTGTGGAAAAGATAAACATAGACACCTGCCTGTAAAACCCAGGTGATTGCAAATGAAAAGAGAACTTCTTGGCATTGTTTTCATTTTCTAAATGCCCTCGGGAGGTCAGTAAATACTTGTTCAGTGAGTGAGCGGATTCAACTAGTTTAGGAACCTATGCGTGTAGGCTTTGCAGATACATTTGGCTTAGCAACGCGAGAGAGTGAGTCCCCCCCCTTTTTAAGGTACAACAGGTTTATTATATTTTCAAGGGCTCTTTGTATAGACTTCAGACCCATTGAAAGAACTTTTCAAGTAGTGGCAGAAGTTAACGCACAGCAATAAGAACCAGGTTGGCCTGAGTGGTTGGCACCAGTAAGTGCTAACGAGGGTCCTGAGTGCTTTGCAGCCCTGGCTGGTGTGGTTCAGTTGGTTGGGTGTTGTCCGGTGCACTGGAAGGTTCGATTCGATGCCGATCAGGTCATGCGCCCGGGTTTCTAATTCAATCTCCAGTTGCAGAGAGTGAATCCTTTTTAACCTGGAATGAGCTCCAGCTGGGCCACAGGAGTCCCGAGGAGGTGACCAGGTTCTGGCCGAGGAAGCTGCAGGCAGAGGTTAACTGCCTGAGGTCGCATGGCAGGCCGAGGAGCGAGCGAGGAGGGAGGGAGGAGGGAGGGGAAGCTGGCTCAGCTCCCTGAGCTGCTGCCTTTGTGTTGTTGACACGTCTGTCATCCTAACTCTAAGATGAGAGCTGTATTTCTGTCCATAGTTTCTGGGTGCTTTTCAGATTATAAAATTTGACGACCTCACATTGATTCAACTCAGCTACGTTGGAGGTGAGGTAAACCTGTAAGCCATTAGGTTTCCTGGTAGGTTTCTCCAAAGTTTGGCTAATTCCTGAAATAAGATTTCAGATTTAAGGATGATCACTAAACTAGAGTAGATTGCCTAAGGAAGTCATTTAAATGCCCTTTACAAAAGTCATTTCACAGATAAAGACAGTTATTTCTTTTTATGGGATATTTGCTGCAGGATTGTTTAGGGACAAGTTAAACTTCATACTCTATTAATGCCATAGGTAATATAAAGAAGGTTTATTAAAAAGACCAAAAGAAAGAAAAAGAGGTTTATTGATAAAGCTTTCTAAACATATCTTCCTAACGTTCTTTTTTTTTCCTAAAGAAATCACTTTATTCACTTATTTTTTAATATTTTATTGATTTTTTTTATAGAGAAGAAGGGAGAGGGATAGAGAGTTAGAAACATTGATGAGAGAGAAACATCAACCAGCTGCCTCCTGCACACCCCCTACTGGGGATGTGCCCGCAACCAAGGTACATGCCCTTGACCGGAATCGAACCTGGGACCCTTCAGTCCGCAGGCAGACGCTCTATCCACTGAGCCAAACCAGTTAGGGCCTTCCTAACATTCTTAGCCAAAATATTTTGAGACTAAAACATGGTTGTCTTAAGTAAAACATGGTGTTTAAATTTTTTTGATCAAAGGATAAAATGCTTGACTGAAATAGTCTATATTATTACTTTTTTTTCATACTCAGGAGTTACTATTTTGAAAGCTGTTAAGAACTTTTTCTATTATACTAGAGGCCTGGTGCATGAAATTTGTGCACGGGTAGGGTCCCTAGGCCTGGCCAGTGATCAGGGCTGATCGGGGCCTTCCTTCATTCCGCGCTGCCCCCCAGTGGTCAGCGCACGTCATAGCAAACAACTGAACTCCCATTCGAACTCCCGCGGGGACACTGCTATTAGCCTTTTATATATATAGCTCTTTAGAAGCAGTTGAAACGAATTCAGTTATATCAGTGTGGAATAGAGGAATGAGTATTATATTTGGTTGGAAGATGTGAGTTCAGTACTCTTGGCTGCTAATTGGTGGTGTCTTTGAACCGATTGTTTTATTTCGATGTTTTAATTTTTCATTTGTAAGTTGGAAGTAAGACTGCAGCTCCCATAGGACTGTTGTTTGAATGAAGTGAGAGTCCTTAAAGCTGGATTATAAAAATTTGAGGTGGGTGTGATACTTATGTCATATATCCCATGGTCAGCCTGTTTCATTCTTGGCTAAATAGGATGTTGTAATTTTTACATTTTTATAGGTTGATTTAAAAACCATTGGAAAGTCATACATTGGCTGCCTTTTGAGTGGGTGCAAGATACAGTTTACAGTAATGCCTTGTCAAATCTCATATATAAAGAAGGTTTTACATAAACAAGACATTTCAACAAAAAAACTTGCCTTTAGCAAAGTTAACTGCACGCTGGCTATTTCATGCAGAGTGGAAAGCAAATGCACCTGTTGGGCAGCTGAGCTTGGATCGCCCTGTCTGCTGTGCTGTCTCCGCCTGGCATGGGCACACATTGGCTTGAGAGCCACCAGCGTACTGTATGGTAGTGGTGGACTGTGCCACTAATGTTTGCCATACAGAAATGACTTAAATATTATTTGTCATTATAGACACTTCATTCATCTTGAAATGTTGGATGATGCTGGGAAAGAGGTTTGCTCCAGGAAGAAAAATTTAGTTTTTTTGTTTTTTGTGAAATCGAAGAAAGTATAGATATTTTTCTTGTTCAAAATTGGAGATTTAAAAAAATTATTGGACATGGTTTCTCAAAGTGATATTGAACATTTAATACCAGACTAAGCTTTTACATTTAATTTCACTCACTCATCTATGCGTTCCCATCACGGTACCATTGTCTTCCTTTGCTGGGAAGCTGCTTGCTGTCTACCACTGGTTTGGCCTTTTGACATTATTCACCTCCGCATGTATAACTTCTCACATAAACTTGTTTTAAAACAATATTTTAATTGTGGCAAAAACCATAATTTTAAATGCACATACATATATTTTTGATGCATAAAAAAAACAACCAACCATTTTATTACGCTCAACACTGACTGGCATAAGACAACCGTGTTTTGCTTAGAGTCCCTGTGTGTCAGGAATTGGAGGGCATCCTGGGACAGCGGTGTCTGCTCAGTGATGACGGGGCCTCCGCTGGGGACTGGATGGTGGGTGACGGGGCAGCTGTGGGCAGAGCCATCTGCAGCCGTCTCTGCTCAGAGTCTGGGCTGTGCTGTCCGTCTCCTGGGACAGTGGGGCTGGTGCCATGGCATCGCCAGGTGGCCTGGCCTCCGAGGTGTGGGCTGTCCGGCGATGGCACTCTTCCCGGAGACTGGAAGCTGTAGACCTTGAGTGACTTATCTGTGGGCTGTCCGGCGATGGCACTCTTCCCGGAGACTGTGTGGAAGCTGTAGACCTTTAGTGACTTATTCTCACAAGTCACACAGCATCCCTCGGCATTCGATTGGCTACAAGTGAGTCACAGGAGGGTCCTGATTCAATGAAAGAGGGTAATGCCCGTTTCTTGTTGTTGTTCATCCTCACCTGAAGATACTTTTCCCATTGCTTTTCAGACAGTGGAAGGGATGAAGGGAGGGAGGGAGACAGACAGACAGACAGACAGACATTGGCTGGGTCGCCTCCCGCATGTGCCCTGACCCAGGCGGGGAGTGAACCTGAAATCCAGTTATGTGTCCTCCACTGGAAATTAAACCTACAACCCTTCGGTGCACAGGCCAACGCCGTAACCACTGAGCACACCGGCCAGGGTCCCCCTTTACAGCAGAGAGCTTGTCGGACGTGGGTAAACCTGCCCACGCCAGGGCTCAGTGGGCACAGGAGGTCAGCGGGCATTCTCCCGGTGTTGAGCCCTGTCTCCTCCTTGCAGTACGTCCACGCGGATGCGCCCACCAACAAGACGCTGGCTGGGCTGGTGGTGCAGCTCCTGCAGTTCCAGGAAGATGCCTTCGGGAAGCACGTCGCCAACCCGGCCTTCACCAAGCTCCCGGTGAGTACATGGACCGCCCTGGGCTGTGGCCCTGATGCTCAGCTGGCGGCGCGTCTGCAGGTCGTTTACTGTCGGTGAACATCCCAGCGGTCGCCGTGTGGACCGGCTGTGAGCGTCTTGCTGTGCTGTCGTGTCCGTGTAGTTCCTGCTGTGCCAGGTCTTCATTCCTTCTTCCGGTTCAGCTCCTGTGGCTAGGACGCTGTTCAGTGGAGTTTCTTTATTTTGTAGGTGGAATTCTCCTGCGCTTATGTGAGAATATAATTCTGCTCGTGCAGGTGCTATTTTGACTGATAATTTGGCTTGGTATAGAAATCCTGGGTTATTTTATTTTCATTTGAAATCTGTAGGTTTTAGTCTCTCTTTAACATTTTATTTTGTAGAGAAAAAATCTGTTGATTTTGGGTCTCCTTCCTTTTTTTAATGTACTTTTTTAATTTTTTCAGAGAAGGGAGAGGGAAAGAGAGAGAGAAACATCAATGATGAGAGAGAACCATTGATCGGCTGCCTCCTGCACGTCCCCTACTGGGGACTCAGTCTGCAGGCCGACGTTCCTTCCATTGAGCCAAACCAGCTAGGGCTCCCCCTTTTTTATGCTGATCTTTGAACCTTTTCTTTTTCTCTTTGAAATGTAGAAATATGTCCAGTTGTGGTAAGTCGTGATCTGGAGACTCCCTGTGCTGCTTTCGCTCCGGGACCATTCAGCCTTCTAGTCTCTCTGCTACCCCGTGTGCCTTTATATTTGAACTCTGATTATACAGATCACTTAGGACTGCCTGGCATATCTCTTCTTAGAATTTTTGTCTTCAATTCTCCGATTTGGGTTTTTGCAGCTTCCATTCTGCTGCTTGCTGCCTCCATTGAATTTATTATCATGGACCTTTTTTTAACTCATAAGCTTCTGAATTGCATGTTCTTATTTTATCACTAAACCTTTTGTTTTAACAACTCACTGATCTTACACATAGAATTGAGAATAAGAAATAGTATTGTTTTATTGACCTTGCAGTAAGTGTGTCTACTTTGTTCATGCTGGGTTTTTTTAAATCCTCACGTGAGGATATGTTCATTGATTTGAGAGAGAGAGAGAGAAGAGGGGAGGGGAGGGGAGGGGAGAGGAGAAGAGAGAGAGAGAAGAGAGAGAAAGAGATCAATTGGTTGCTTTCTATATGTACCATGACTGGGAATCGAACCCACAACCTCGGTATGTGTGCCCTGACCTGGAATTGAACCCGAAACCTTTCTGGTGTGGGGGACAGCTGAGCCACCAGCCACGGCTGCTTCTGCGGGTTTCCCATCCAGACGTTTACCTTTGTTAGTCAAATAGAACAGGGGTTTTTCGAGTCATGCTAGGCTTTTCCCACTTGCAGGTGACACAGGAATTCAGCCGTCCATTCTTCGAGTATTTGTTTGGTTTCATTTTTTACATGTAATTCTCTTCATTGAGAATCTATCTTGGTATTCAGTGTGCGCAGTGGATCTAGTTTATCTTTTTCCATGTGAGTATCTGGTTATCTCAGCAACACTTGTTAGAAAATGCTGCTTTCCTCACTGATTTTTTTTTTTAAATATATTTTATTGATTTTTTACAGAGAGGAAGGGAGAGAGATAGAGAGTTAGAAACATCGATGAGAGAGAAACATCGACCAGCTGCCTCCTGCACATCTCCTACTGGGGATGTGCCCGCAACCCAGGTATATGCCCTTGACCGGAATCGAACCTGGGACCTTTCAGTCCGCAGGCCGACGCTCTATCCACTGAGCCAAACCGGTTTCGGCTCCTCACTGATTTGAGCTCAGCAAACAGGCAGCATTTGATTATGTCCCGAGTGTGAGGCTGTTGCTTGTCCTCGGGGCTCACACTCGTGAGCTGTGTAGATAGAACCTTGACTCCCCATCTCAGGGAAGGCTTTGCAGGGAAGGGCCTGGGAGCTGAGTCCTGGGAGCTGGGGGTGGTTCTTGAGGGAAGGGCGGGGATGCCTTCGGGCGGTGAGGTCCGAGTGAGCAGTGTAAGGGCCTGAGGCAGGTGTCGCCCCAAGGTTAGAGCTGAGGACGGCGGCAGGGAGAGGGCTAACACCAGGCTCAAAGGCCAAGTTCACCAGTGCCCCGCCAGAGGGGCGTCCACTGGAGGTCACGGGAAGGGCAAGGAGAGCAGGAGGGGCTCAGTCAGCTGTGGGTTTAGGTCTCGCACAGGCTGATGGGGGCTGTTGAGACTGGAGGCTTGGGCAGCCAGCGCGATTTCCAGGACCCAGGACGAGGCTGCTGTCCTGATCCCCGAGAACGGGGCGGAGGGAGGTGGCGGGGCATCCGAGAGGACGGGGAGCAATTGGGGACGTTGAAGGACGAATTGACCTTGGCACTGAGGGGAAGGCAGAGGACGAGGCTCCGAGGAAGGTCCACGCCTCGGAGACCAGGAGGGTATTTTAGGCACAAACCATATTAAAAATAGCTCCTGGCTCAGCGCCAGGGGACCAGCTGTCCTCCCTCCCGAGGAGTGTGTAGCCGGTCCCAATGGAAGGATTGGCACGTGATGGTGTAAAGAGAAGGGGGGACGAGACAGTCAAGGGAAGAACCCTTGAGTGAAACCTGGGAGCTGTTCGCCGTCCGCTTTTCTTCCTCGTGGATGAGCAGCGCTGGAGCGAGAGTCAAGTGGGACTTTGTGGGTCACGCCGGGTGTTCAGCAGCGGGCTCAGCATAGGTGTGCGCTGCGTAACACTAGCTGAGGAGCAAGAGGGTCTTAGGAAAGCGTGTTTCTTAAGGCTCGAATGTATCCCACAGGCACAATGAGCGTGAGTGGTAAAAACTCGTTCCCATAGCCTTCCTGGCTCAGGACCTGTGCGGGCCCAGACAGACATAGCCTCACGGTGGGAGGCGTCCGTTCTGCGTTCTGCCTTTTTAAAAAGGCCACAAGCATCTGTTTAGAGACAAAGCCCGAGAACCGGCACGGCATGGACAGGTCACGTTCCAGTTTGCTGTGAGGTCCATGCCCGCTCTCGACTGCTGTGGGGCTGGGGATAGAGACGTGAAGTGGGCAGTGATGTCAGCCTGGAGCAGCCAGCTTTTGACTTTTTCTTCTTTGATTTTTACACCTGGGGATGTGCCTTTCTAGAGATTCAGCCCCACATTTAACATAATGTCGTCTGTTTTATCCAGCATGTGCTTGCAGTGAGTGGTAGGGTTTCTGGCTGTTTAGTCCACCTCATGGCTGGAGCCAGCAGCACTGTGTCATCTGTAAAATGGGCTAGAAGCCTCAGCTGCATCGGATGCTTTCGGAGTAAGGAGGCCCGTGTGTAAGCGCCTTGCGGTAACTCCTCAGACGGCAGCGGGGAGAGGACTGTCTCCCCAAGAAGAGGCTGCAGCAGCGGGGACCTGTGGTTACAGGTGCTCATCAGGGGCTCCAGTTGGCCCTGGAGCAACCTGGGTTTGAACTGCATGGATCTACTTATATTTTTAAATAAATACTGTGAGTGGCCCTCACTGGTTTGGCTCAGTGGATAGAGTATCGGCCTGTGGACTGAAGGGTCCCGGGTTCGATTCTGGTCAAGGGCATATGCCAGGATTGCGGGCTCGATCCCCGGTAGGGGGTGTGCAGGAGGCAGCCGATCAATGATTCTCATCATTGATGTTTCTATCACTCTCTCCTCCCTTCCTCTTTAAAATCAACAAACATGTGTTTTTAAAAAAGCTAAATGGATTTTCTCTTTTTTATGATTTTCTCAATAACATGGTCTTTCCTCTAGCTTACTTTATTGTAAGAATACAGTATGTAATACATACAACATACAAAACATGTGTTAATGGACTGTTTATGTTGTTGGTAAGGCTTCTGGTCCACAGTAGGCTGTTAGGTTTGGGGGAGTCTAAAATTATACGCAGATTTTCAATTGTGGGGGTGGGGTAGGGGTCAGCGCTCCTAACCCTCACGTTCAAGGGTCGACTGTATTACAGTTTCTCTCACTAATACAATTGGGAACTATGTCTAGAAAGCACTATTTTAAACTCGAAAGCAGCTAAAATACACAAAGAAACTTAGAAATTATTTGATTGTTTCATATTTGTGAGGTAAAAAGATTCTGAAATTGAAGCGATGTGTTTCTCCCCCCAGAATTGTTTTCAGGGTGTGAAGATGCCTGAATTCCCTTGAATTTTCTTGGTTTGTTGAACATACTCGGTTTCTGCTCCTTGGTTCACTTCTCACATTCATTTCTGACATAGTCATTTCTTGATGAACAGGCCAAAAGGTGGCATTATTAATGCGTGTACTCAGCCCACACAAACACATTACAAACACATTATCTATCCCCCCACCCCCCTGTTTTTGTTTTTTTAATTTTTAAAAATTGAGCTGGTGTGGCTCAGTGGTTGTGCGTCGACTTATGAACCAGGAGGTCATGGTTCGGTTCCTGATCAGGGCACATGCCCGGGTTGTGGCCTGGATCCCCAGTGTAGGGTGTGCAGGAGGCAGCTGATCAATGATTCTCATCATTGATGTTTCTATCTCTCTCTCCCTCTCCCTTCCTCTCTGACATCAATAAAAAAAAATACTTCTTAAAAATTGATTTGAGAGAGCAGAAGAAATTGATTTGTTGTTCCACTTATTTATGCATCATTGGTTGATTCTTGCATGTGCCCTGACTGGGCATCGAACCCACAACCTTCGCAAATCGGGGCAACGTTCTAACCAGCTGAGCTGCCGGGCCAGGGCATCCCCTCCTTTTTGCCACTTGTGAGCGCTGCCTAGTCCTTAGTTAATAAGTCAAAGAAATAATGACACTGGCACAGATGTAAAGCACTTTGAGGTCTTGCAGTTAGACGTAGCTTTTCTGGGCTTCATCCTGCTCAGCAGAAGTATAGGCGGATGACCCCACCTCCACCCAGAACAAGATGAGACTGACTTCCAGTGTAGCTGCCGAGAGCCCAGCGTGTCAGAAGCAGTGTGCCCCGCAGCAGGGAATCGAAGCAGCTGGTAGAACTGCCCTGGCCCAGGGTCTCCAGATGGGCAGCTGCTGAGACATCACCTGAGGCAGGTCCCACTGGCTCTGGGAAGCTCAGGTTTTGGTGCCTGTTGTCTTTTTTTCCCCAAATATTTTTTTGATTTCAGACAGGAATGGGGAGCGAGAGAAACATCAATGATACGAATCATTGATAGGCTGCCTCCTGCATTCCCCCTACTGAGGATCTAGCAACCTGGACATGTGCCCTTGACCGGAATTGAACCCGGGACCCTTCAGTCCACAGGCTGACGCTCTATCCACTGAGCAAAACCAGCTAGGGCCCCTGTTGTCCTTTTTTTCTTTTTTTTTTTTTTTTTTAAATATATTTTATTGATTTTTTTACAGAGAGGAAGGGAGAGGAATAGAGAGTTAGAAACATCGATGAGAGAGAGAAACATGGATCAGCTGCCTCCTGCACACCCCCCACTGGGGATGCGCCGGCAACCAAGGTACATGCCCTTGACTGGAATCGAACCCGGGACCCCTCAGTCCGCAGGCCAACGCTCTATCCACTGAGCCAAACCGGTCAGGGCATGTCCTTTTATTCTTTAATTTTTTTAATCATCAAGAGGAATTGGCCCATCACCAGTGCTTCTGCTCAGAGAATATGTGAAGAAGAGCGAGGCGTCTTCTCGGTGGGCGTGGGGGCGGTGAGGGTTGAATTGGGAAGTGAGTGTCCCTGGGAAGTCTCTTGTCTGCCTCCAGCTCTTCGTCCCTGACTCTGGCCTATTAGTTTTTTTCTGTGGGTGATTCCGATGCTGAGGGTCAGAACCCCACGTCCATTTTTATATTTTTATTGATTTTAGAGAGGAAGGGAGAGAGAGGAACACCAGTGATGAGAAAATCACCCATCAGCCGTCTCCGTCCACCTCCCCACCCCCCAGGAATAGAGCCTGCAGCCCAGGCATGTGCCCCGACTGGGAATCAAACCACCATGACCTCCTGGTTCATAGGTCAATGCTCAACCACTGGCCCACACTGGCTGGACTTGATGTATCTTTTGTAAATCTTGGTTTTTACAAAGTTTACTTAAAGAGTAATATTTTAATTGAAATTTGAAAAGAAATATTTTTATGCATTTTTGGACATTTTTCTTTATATTGCAATTTTTTCCAGAAAGTACTTAAGAACTTGTTTATATCTTTGAGCTGACTTATAGAATTCAGACATAAGTAATTTTTTCAGAACTTTTATTGTTTTCACGTGTGACTTGTGTCATTTTAGGCGAAATGTTTCATGGATTTCAAGGCTGGAGGCGCCTTGTGTCACATTCTCGGGGCTGCGTACAAGTACAAGAATGACCAGGGCTGGTAAGTCCTTGTGTTGATTTGCATGTTTTGATGTGACGTAGAAGTTGGGCTCCACAGCCCACAGCCCACACTCTCGGTCACTAGGCTGGACCCCTCCCTGGGAGTGAAATGGGACACAGCATTCACATTGGTAACGATTTAACCACATGAAAAGGACGGAGATCAGGGGGGACGGCACAGAAGGCTATGCTGGTGCTTACACACGATCTGAAGACATGTGGGGGGACTTAAAGTAAAGGTGAAAAGGTGGGTTTTACCACATTCAGGACAACAGTCATCTCAGAGAACACAGACCTCGTTGAATGTGAACAGATACGTTTAAGATGACTGCCACTGGCTCTGTGGACTGCTTTCTGTCTGATGTAAACTATCTTAGATTTACTTCATGGAACAGAGACTTCCTTTTGCTGGAGTGGATCTTAATGTCTTAAACTCTGATCTTTTAGTGTTCACATGCTCATTTATATGACTGAGAGAAACGCTTGTACATTTGCGTAGTTCTATCATAGTTTCCAGATCTATCCAGCTCATTTGCATTGAATGCTGCAGCCAAGTCTTTACTTTTTAAAAAAATATATATATTTTTATTGATTTCAGAGAGGAAGGGAGAGGGAGAGAGAGATAGAAACATCAATGATGAGAGAGAACCATTGATCGGCTGCCTCCTGCACGCCCCACACTGGGGATGGAGCCTGCAACCTTGGTATATGCCCTTGGCCGGAATCGAACCTGGGACCCTTCAGTCTGCAGGCCAATGCTCTATCCATTGAGCCAAACCGGTTAGGGCCAAGTCTTTACTTTTGTTTAAGACGGGAGACAAGTTAACTAATTATTATCTTGTCTTTTAGGCGGAGGTTTGATCTACAGAATCCATCCCGAATGGATCGTAATGTTGAGATGTTTATGAATATTGAAAAAACATTGGTGCAGGTAAACGGGAAAGTTAAATCATTACAATTTCTTCCCTTGGATATACTGTCAGTTCTAAGATTAGCTTCATCAGGTTGCCAAAAAGTCAAAGGAAGAATAATTTTCTGAAATCTATTGTTCTGTTATTCTTTTGGATTTAGGGGAATTAGAGATATAAAGTATGACTAAAACTTGTCATTTATAGAATTTGACCTTAAACTTGTGGTGAAATTATCTATGATATTTTTCTTTATTAATTTTACCAAACCCATTATTTGAATCTTTTTCACATTTAATATAAATACTCTCTCATTTGTTTATTCAGTGATTTTCTTTGGATTTGTTTCATGGTTGTGCCATGAATATAGATTTTATTTCCCCTACTAGATTATAACCTGGAGAGAACAGTTAATTTTCTTCTTTTCTTTCCTAGTATTTTATTGAGTGGTACTTTGTGGTGGCCATTGACTGAACCTCCCTGGGGCGGGGCATGTGGCAGAAATGCAGCTGGGTCTCCTCAGTGGCTCCATGCCTGGGAGTTGTCTCATGGACCATTAGCCAGAGGAGTAACAGGGTGTTTTGTTCGTTGGTTCATTTTTGGTGATGGTTTGGGGAGTTAATAGGAATGTTTTAGTCACTTCTGTATGTAAGATTAGAAATGGGGGGAAAAGAGCTATAATCCACAGTCTTTTTTTTTTTAAAATATATTTTATTGATTTTTTACAGAGAGGAAGGGAGAGGGATAGAGAGTTAGAAACATCCATGAGAGAGAAACATCCATAAGCTGCCTCCTGCACACCCCTCACTGGGGATGTGCCCGCAACCAAGGCACATGCCCCTGACCGGAATCGAACCTGGGACTCTTCAGTCCGCAGGCAGACGCTCTATCCACTGAGCCAAACTGGTCAGGGTTAATCCACAGTCTTTACATCATTTTAAGTGATTTACCTGATGAGCCGAAATGAATACCTACCTCCCCTGGCCAACAGAAGGTGTAGGTGGAAACAGTCCATTAGATGTGAGGTGTGCTCAGGTGAAGTGGCCTAGCAGGGCTCATGTGTCACTTGGTGCCTTAATGGAAAAGATGATGCATGTCTGTGGGTCATAATCTCAGCATCTTCTTGTCCAGGTGTACCCGGCTGCAGAGAAGGGACCTGAGCCGTCATTAAGGAGGCTGCTGCACACCTGGGTTTTACACTGACATCAAACTTTCCCATTCTTTTCCATACAAAGTGCATCTCCCATTCTAAGCAGCCTGGCTGTGAGTGCCACCTTTTGCCATGAGGATGATGCATAAATAATATGACATTATTTTAAAACCAAGAGAATTTAAAAATCTGTTCTTTCTTTCTCAGAGCAATTGCCTGACCAGACCCAACATCTACCTCATTCCAGACATTGACCTGAAGTTGGCTAACAAATTGAAAGATATTATCAAACGACATCAGGTAATAAACTCGACCCTTCAGAAGCCCTTGCAGTCAGAAAGGTCTTGTAAGTCTCCACCTGAGTGTCTTCTGATTTGTGTTTCTGTCGGCAGTGAATGAAAGTTTTCCTCTTTCTGGGTTCTCACAGTACCAAGTGCTTTTCTCTTCACTCACCTCCAGTTCTTAGCTGAGCCTAGCATTATTGAGATGTAATTGACATGTAATATTGTGTAAGTTTAAGGTGTATTATGTGATGATTTAATACATGTATATGTCCTAGAGTAGCGTTTAATTGCTACCAAAGCATTCTGGAAAAAGTTTATATATTCGTCTACAGTTTTGTTTTGTTTTTTGTTAAATATATGTTTATTGATTTTAGAGAGGAAGAGAGAGAGATAGAAACATCATTGATGAGAATCATTGATTGGCTGCTTCCTGCACACCCCCCACCGGGGATTGAGCCCGCAATCCTGGTATATGCCCTTGACTGGAATCGAACCTGGGACCCTTCAGTCCACAGGCCACTGCTCTATCCCCTGAGCCAAAATGGTTAGGGCTTGCCTACAGTTTATACTGATCACTTAGTTGCCACAGTTCTTAAGAAATCTGACTTTAGTGATTGTTTTCTTAGTGATTGTTTTAGGGACAACGTCCAGAGGGATGTAACAGATCTTCTGGTTTCATAGACTCCTAGAGAGGAGACCTTAAAAGCTAATACTAGCACCATTATTAAATACCCCTTTTTAAAAATATATTTTTACTGATGTCAGAGAGGAAGGGAGAGGGAGAGATAGAAATGTCAGTGATGAGAGAGAATCATTGATCAGCTGCCTCCTGCACACCCCTTACTGGTGATCAAGCCCACAACCCAGGCATGTGCCCATTCCGAACCTAAGACCCTTCAGTCCATAGGCCAATGCTCTATCCGCTGAGCCAAACCAGCTGGGGCTGAATACTGTTGATCAGACCTTTGCTCAAGCATTTAAAGTGCATTAGCGACTCCATTGATTGGTCACAGTGTATCTGTCACCATTCTTAGCTCCTTTCATCTGTTAACTATGCCCCACATACTGAAAGGTTGCGGGTTTGATTCCGGTTAGGATATATTCGGGAGGCACCTGATGTGTGTGTCCCCCTGTCCCTCCCCCTCCCCCTCTCTTTCTCCCTCTTCCTCTCCCTCCCCCTACCTTCCTTCCCCTTCCCCTCCCTTCCTCTCCTCTGTCCCTCCCCTCCTCTCCCCTCTCTCCCTCCCTCTCTCTCTAAAATTAATAAAAATAGCCCAGCCAGCGTGCCTCAGTGGTTGAGCATCGACCTGTGAACCAGAAGGTCATGGTTCAATTCCCGGCCAGGGTACATGCCCAGGTTGCAGGCTCGATCCCCATTGTGGGGTGTTCAGGAGGCAGCCGATTCATGATTCTCTCTCATCATTGATGTTTCTCTCTCTCTCTCCCTCTCCCTTCTCTGAAATCAATAAAAATATTTTTTTAAATGAAATTAATAAAAATGTCTTTGGGTGAGCATTAACAAAAGAAGAATTAGGGGTACTCATCTATGATAATAACAGCGTAATATGCAAATCGACCGGACAGCAGAACGACTGTCTGGCTGACCTGGACGACCACACTGTGACGTGCACCGGCGCCCGGCCAGCCAAGGCGGCTGTGATGCGATTGGCCAGGGGGCCCGCCATCACCCCACGATCGCCCCGCAGGAGGAGGCCCAGTCACCTTCTGCAGGATGATCGATCGGGCGGCACCGGGGAACTGGGGGTGTGTGGCGGCAGACGTGGGCAGTGCAAGGCCAAGGCAGGTGTGGGTAGGGGGTGGGGCTGCCAGGCAGCTGGGGCCACGAAGGCTTGCCCTTGCACGAATTTTGTGCGTCAGGCCTGTAGTCTTCTATATAATAAAAGCCTAAGCGACTTGCAGCATAATGACCAGAATGACTGGTCGCTATGATGCACACTGACCACCAGGGGGCAGATGCTCAACACAGGAGCTGCCCTGTGGTGGTCAGTGCGCTCCCATGGGGAGCGCCGCTCAGCTAGAAGCCGGGCTCACAGCTGGCGAGCGCAGTGGTGGTGGCGGGAGCCTTTCCCACCTCCGCGGCAGCGCTAAGGAGCAGCGAGCAGGCAGGCAGTAAAGAGTGAGAGGGCGTAGGCCAGGATGAAGGGATCCCCCGTCCCAGCCATTGCACCAATTTCGTGCACCAGGCCTCTAGTATTACTGAGAATAAGGTTACCCTGAGAGAGATACATAGAGAATTAGCGGAGGGCACTTGTGTTGTTTTTTTAGAGAACACTGTAAACTGTTGATAATTTTTGTTCTTGTTAATTCCTATCTCTTACCTTGACTAAAAATAATAAAAATATTTTAGTTTTAAAATATAAGTAAAATAATGCCTTTGCAGTTCCTGGGCTGTTTGTGTCTGGCCTCTCATGGTTTGCTGGCACATGCTTTATTTTCACGTTATGTGTTCATTGCCTTTTCAGGGCACATTCACTGACGAGAAGTCGAAAGCTTCCCACCACATTTACCCGCATCCTTCCTCACAAGAGGATGGTGAGTGAGTTTTTGGTTGTGATCTGATGAGCTCAGACTTCACTGGATTCTAAGTTATATCATCAGAGGGTTAAATAGTATAACCAGCTATTTTAGAAAGAGAGTCACAAGTATTAAATTCCACAGATTATTTAAATTTGTAATTTTTTATTTATTTTGAATTGGGAAAAGTAAACTAATTCTGTAATGTCCAACTTTCTAATCATTAGACTTTTATTTATTTGTTGGCAGTTATCATCTGGGTGTTAAGTCTAGCCATGCCTGTGCATTAACGTAGCTGATGTTCCTGTGTCCCTTGTGTTCTGAAAATTAAGAGACATTGCGAGATAGAGCGTCTCTGGTAAACAGGCCCCTCGGAAATACCAGTCGGGATTGTCTAATGGGTTCGACTCTGGCATTCAGCCCTGCGACCTGAAAGTGCATTTGGTCAGTAGCCAGAGTTCATCAGAGCTATGGCAACTGACTTCTGTTAACCATTCTTTCCAAGGTTGGAAAGTTGGGAATCAAAATGTGAATTATTAATTAGCCAAGTTAATTTAGATTGAGAAATAGTTCTCCTATGTGGAGATCTATTCTTAGGCATAACATATCCCCATAGAATATCTATATAAGGAGGCAAATTATATGAGACTTGACTCGCTAATTCCCTGCACTGTTCTTACCAGTGCAGAGATGCTGTAAGTCAATAATAACAAGATTACAGACAGTTTCCATATGCGTGAACATTAAGAAATATCTTGCCATGTCATCCATGGATGAAAGAAGAAATTGCAATGGAAATGGAAAGTCTTTGGATCCGAATAATTACGAAATTAAGAAAGTATAAGAAAATTAACGTTTCAGGTTGCAGCTGATGCTATATCTAGAGGGAAATTTAGGTCTTAAATGTATATATTGGGGAAGAAGAAAGACTGAAAAGTCAGTGGTCCACACATCTTTCTCAAGAAATTAGAAAAATAACATCAAACTAAAGCTAGAGAATAAAAAATATAAGTAATTAAGAGCACAATTAATAAAGCTACAGAATAAAGGAAATAAGTAATTAAGAGGACAATTAATGAATATAGTCTATACCAGTGATGGCGAACCTTTTGAGCTCAGCATGTCAGCATTTTGAAAAACCCTAACTTAACTCTGGTGCCGTGTCACATATAGAAATTTTTTGATCTTTGCAACCATAGTAAAACAAATAATTAAATTTTTGATATTTATTTTATATATTTAAATGCCATTTAACAAAGACAAGTCAACCAAAAAAATGAGTTTGCGTGTCACCTCTGACGCGCGTGTCATAGGTTCGCCGTCACTGGTCTGTACAGCAGCAAGGTGCTCAGCAGTGTCAACTGGTTCTTAGCAAAGACTGCTCTCCGTGGTGCTGGTCTGCTCGACTTAACGGAGGAACATGCCAGGGGAGGAAGGAGGGCCTTTCTAAGTTGTACAGATATCAAAGCAATGACAGGAGGGTAGGTTGGTTGGCTTGGTTGGTTGCCTGTGTGTTTGGTGTCAAATCTAAAAACCATTGCCTCAGCAGAGTAATGAAGTTTACGCCTAACTTGTTCTAAGCGTTTCGTAGTTTAGGCCTTTTCATCGGTAGCTTGGGAACAAAGTTGGATTCACGATCTCAGCTCTGATTGTTGTGCTTTGAGAAACCTCACGCTGCCGTTAGTGTTTCTCAGCTTTGTTCTCCGAGGTAGTAGCAGCTGGTTGCCACTGGGTGGAGGTGCTGGATAGCTGTGAATGTTCCGGTGCTGATTCTGGCTGGCTACCTCTCCTAAGGCTTCTCTAATAGTTGGTATAAATGCTTAGATCGTGAATGTATTGAAAACAGTGCCTTTTACAAACGGTTTGAACTGCAGTTGTTGCAGTAATTTCTTATTCATGTGAGCGTTATTTGTGTATTTTAATACAAGCTAGTTTACTGATGTTTGCTAGGTATTGCTATTAGTAGTTGGAGTAATCGTTAGAAGGCAGCATTTAAATTTAATTTGTAATATATTGAAGGTTATCTTTAAAGTATGACATGATTCTGCACATTGTGGGGCTTTCCTTAGAACCAGTGGCTGTCAGGGGCGTGTGCAGACGGTCACTACAGCCACAGCACAGTAAAGACCGTGTCGAAATGCAGTGTGCCTTTCTCTGAGGGTTAGTTACAGTTTAAAATAAAAGGTGATGCTATTTAATAGGTCTTAAGATATTAAAAGAATTGGAGTGTGAGATGCTAGAAGAGGTACAAAATAAGGAAAAGCAGAGGTAATACATTATGGAGTTTGAGGAAAAGCAAGTGGCCAAGTTGGGCTTCATGTCTCAGGAGAGTAGGCGGTGGGGAAGGTGAGGCTGTGAGTCGGGTGAAGAGCTTTGTTTGATGCGGTGGGTGAAGGAGAAGGTGCTGGGCAGGTGTGTGGGGTGGGCAGTGCTGATCATTTGGTGGAGAGGAATGTGCAGCTGGGGCCGTATTCGTGCCCGAGCGGCAGCTCTGACTCGTGGGACAGGCAGGGCATTCTGTTGAAGCAGACGGTTCTGGAAGGCCCCCGGGCTCCTCCTCCACTGTTCCCCTGGCCGTTCTGGGTGTCGGGTTCAGGGTCAGGGCCTGGTTTCTTCCTCTTCACTGTCGATACGAGAAGGTCGGCCGTTGGGTGCTTCACACAGAGCACAGGCACGGGGCTTCCCGGCTGAGTCAGTGCAGGGGCTTGTTATGTTGAAGTGGGCGTGGAAAGTCGTTTTATTTAGCTGATTTCACTTAGATAAGTCCTGCTTTTTCTTGGGTTTCAAGAGGCTTCACTAGAAACAAGTATTAGAAACGAGTGTTCTCAGCTAAGTTCAGACTACCAACGGCCACAGCGTAACCGGTGCTGAGATGCAGGTGGGATTAACTGACGTCGGCAGTAGTCACCTGGCGGCAGGAACGGTGCCCTCCTTTTCCTTGGTGAGGCTGCTGGAATAGAAAGCGTCTGATAGGACCACTGCTGACAGTCTCCTTGGGAGGCTGAGCCAACAGGCGGCCATTAGAGAACAGAAACAGTGCTGTTGGTGAAGCTTGGACGTCGCGCCATAGAGCACCGTCGAAGCCGGAGAGAGTGAACCTGAGGAAGAAGGTTCTGGTACAACTTCCATCAGGAGTCGCAGCGTAGCAGAGGGTGGGGGTCCTGCCTGGGAGTGAGGCGTCGGGTGTGGTCCTGATTCGCTGGAAGCACAGGCAGGTCAGGCAGGCGGGTGGGAGGGGCGCACTCCGGATGGACAGTCGGTTCTGTCAGGATTGAGGGAGAATCAGGCCTAGAACCCAGTAGGTCTGAGGGCACAGCTGAAAAGCTCCCCTTAGCAGATGGTGGTGGAGAGCATCCAACCAGGAGAAGACTTGGGGGAGCCCCTGAGCAAACCCAAAACTGAGTAAAATGAAGTCTACACAGTAGTCCGTTCATCCACTGTGTGGCCTGACTGCGTGTTCCTTGTGCCTTTCAGAGGAGTGGCTGCGACCCGTGATGAGGAGGGACAAGCAGGTGCTGGTGCACTGGGGGTCGTACCCCGACAGGTAAGGCGGGGCCGGGCGGAGGTCGGTCCGCGAGCCCGTCACTCCGCTTCCCTTCATGACAGTGGCCACTCGTTGGCTTAGTTTTGGTCGCTGATCTCACTCTTCAGTCTTATTGGCCGTTTCCTCACTGACCTTGTGGAGTGCGTGGAGCCACATGGCTTCACTTTTCTTAACAAGCTGACGTGTTCGCTGCGCTTGCCAGAGAGCGCCTCCGTCTGCTGGGAGAGGCCGGCTCAGGTGTCCTTCCTGGGGTTTAGGACTGTTAGGGTGACCTGTCCGAGTGACTTTCTTTCACATGCAGATACATTTCTTAGAGAAGGAAATATACCTTCACTTACGTTCGAAATTTTAACAGTATGTGCACAGTCTTTATACGTTTGGGTTAATTAGAACCAAATCCAGTAAGCTTGCTAACCAACCTCTTTTGAACCACAATTGACTACTTTAAATGAGCAGGTTCTTTAGAAATAATACTTTCTTTTTTTTAAAATATATTTTATTGATTTTTTACAGAGAGGAAGGGAGAGAGATAGAGAGTTAGAAACATTGATGAGAGAAACATCAATCAGCTGCCTCCTGCACATCTCCTACTGGGGATGTGCCCGCAACCCAGGTACATGCCCTTGACGGGAATCGAACCTGGGACCTTTCAGTCCGCAGGCCGACGCTCTATCCACTGAGCCAAACCGGTTTCGGCAGAAATAATACTTCCTATGCAGCATTGTGGCCTTGAGCCTCGAGTGGCCCTTGGCACTGTGAGCGCCTTCAGCTTTGCAGGGACTGTGGTGGGAAAGCAGCCTGTCCTTTAAAACACTTCGATGGAAACTCAGGTCTGCGACAGGCATTGGGAGCAAGGGCTGGAGTCCGTGTTCAGATGTCACATGGGACACGGTCGCTCTTTGCCGGCATTTTCTACGTGTCAGAGAAGCTGTCCTGGCTGCTCGAGCCTTGTCTTTCCAGGGGCCTGTTAGTTCGCTTCCTGGCTAGAGCTTGTGCCCTCGCTGCTGCCTGTGGAACATCTTCTCCCCGGGACTTCCTGTTCTCATCCACCTCAAGTCCTCATTCAGCCGCTGGGATATGGCTCACCAGGATCTCCTCCCGGTGCCGCCTGTAGCTGGTGCGGTTTATTCACTCGCGAGGAGCTGCTTCCCTCGCCTGGTGTGGAATGTCCTAGGCGCTCGGTGCTGTGAACGGGTGCCGCGCCTGCTCGTTCCAGAAGCTTTGGGACTGACTTCCAGCAGCGGCTGCAGGAAGCAGCGCTTGTGACCGTACTTGGGTTCCCTTTAGAAACTACTGTTGGCCAGGGTGGCAGCACTGACAGCGCTTTAATCTGGAAGGTTCTGTTTTGCTTTTTTCAAAGTGGTGGAGGCACAGGGGGAATGAATGACTCATCCGTGAATTGGACCTCACTGGTGAGGCTTTGAGCTATTGAGCTCAGCGGTGTGAAGATAAGGGAAGTGAGCCGAGGCATAACCGGGTGGTGAGGCGCCTGTGGGAGGGCCTGGCATGTGCAGAGGGGCCCTGAAACCCCAGGAAGCGGCTCAGATGCATCGAGGGAGCAGAGAGCGCTGGAGACAGAGCGCTGTGGACTGGCTGAGTTTTCAGAAGAACCACTGTTTGCTGTGTGAGAAGTGGACTCCCGGGCTTTGGGCAGCAGGAAGGGCAAGAAGCGCTGGGTTCTGGACCTGCTTTGCAGCTGGAGCTGGCGGGCGTTCTGACGGCTGCTATGGGACAGGAGGGAGTGGAGGCAGGATGTCAGCCAGCGTCGCTGAGCTCATCGTTGGGGTCAGGAAGCATTACATTGTGTTTGGAGTGTGTGAGGTTTGAAAGCCTTGCTAGGCCTGTAGGAGGAGATGTGAGTGGACCGTGGGATTCATGAGTCCAGAACTCAGAGGAGAGGGCCGATGGAAAGGGTTTAAGGCAGCGGTTCTCAACCTGTGGGTCGCAACCCCTTTGGCGGTCGAACGACCCTTTCACAGGGGTCGCCTGAGACCATCCTGCATATCAGATATTTACATGACGATTCATAACAGTAGCAACAAACAAAAATAATTTTATGGTTGGGGGTCACCACAACATGAGGAACTGTATTTAAAGGGCCAGAAGGTTGAGAACCACTGGTTTAAGGGGTCGTGTCTGTCTGAAGCCGTGGGCTGCGGGAGACCAAGTGAAGGAGAGAAGAGGATGGTTGTTCAAAAACTAAAACGGGGGGTGGGGGCTCCCAGTATTGATGAGTTTGGGAGAAGAGGAGAAACGCAGGAGAGACTGAGGAGAGGTGGTGCCGGAGGAACGCCGGTCGGTAGCGCTGCCGTGGAGGCCAAGCCAGGGAAACGCTTTGAGGAGCGTGAACAGCTTGTTGAAATTCCGTGGACGAGGCTTGAACTTGAGGTTGAGCAACGTGAAGACGACTGTAGACCCTACACAGAGTTTTCCTGTCAGAGCGGTGGAGGCAAAAGTGTATGACAGCCCAGACGGTCAGCTCAGAGGTTGAGCGTCAACCGTGAACCAGGAGGTCACTGTTTGATTCCGGCCAAGGGCACATGCCTGGGTTGTGGGCTCGATCCCCAGTGAGGGGTGTGCAGGGGGCAGCCGATCGATGTCTCTCTCATCATTGATGTTTCTATCTCTCTCCCTTCTCTGAAATCAATAATAGAAATACATATATTTTTAAAAAGTGTATGATAAATTCCTGTTACTAGATCCTAATAGTCTCTCTAAAATACATTTTTACATTTTCATCGAAGTCTGTTTAGTGAATGAGTTTGGGATCTAATTGATGTTTCCTTTTCTCATTTCCTTTATAGCTATGATACTTGGGTCCATAGTAACGATGTTGATGCGGAAATTGAAGATCCACCAATTCCAGAAAAGCCGTGGAAGGTGAAAGCTTCTTTTTAAAAAAATTATTCTTATGTGACCTCGTAGCTCTTTTCAGCTATTCTCCCCAAGGTTTTTAAGGAGACACGGAATGGTGGTCTTCCTTTCTTACTCATTAAGAGCCGTCCATGGCACGAAGGCCTTACTCTCTAGGTCTCAGGTGCAGCGTCTGCAGTGATGTGTGAGGAGACCCAGCGCCCAGGGTTTGAGGAGCCGAGGGGAGTGTGGGGCGTGGCTGAGCGGCACGGCTTAGGACGCCGGGAGCAGTGCCCACGCGGCTCTATTGCAGTAGACCTGTTTCTGCTCATTTCTGCTGCGGTGGCAGGGTCCCTGCATCAACTCGTGTATTTTTCAGCTTTCAATGTGGAAAGAATTTGGAAAGTTGTATGAGTAATAAAAAGGCATTACTTTATAGTTTTCTTCCAGATTTCCCTGTTGTTAATTATTTCAGGAAATTCTTAAAACAGTATTATTACCTTATACCGGGCCCATTTTCCATTTCCACCAATTGCCCCAGTGATAGAGGAAGTTTATGCTGAGTTTTCCCTGGTCCGTTCGCAGGTCCTGCCTCACTCAGTCAGTTCTGACGGGTGCCTCTCCCGCTGCCCATTCTGCGCTTGGAGTCGGCATCCCTCTTCCTCCCCCGTGTGTGCGCAGTGTCACTGTGCGCGTGTGGAGCGCTGGCCGTCCGGCCGTGCATCCCTCTGATAAATTGTCTGAACCTTGGCCGATGGGAACGTCTACGCTGCCTCGTGTGGCCTTTGGGCATGATTTGATGTGTGCTTGCAAGCTCCCTACCTTCTGGGACAGAAAGATGTTCCCCACGCGCTTGGTCACTTTTATGTCCTAGCCCTGGAGCCAGCATTTCAGCAGAGAGCTCTGGCCCCTCCCAGGAGCAGTGGCAGGGAGCCATGGTTTTATTGACCCTTTAATAGAGCACTAGAGGCCTGTGCACAGATTCGTGCGAGGGGCGCTGCCCTCACAGCCCCGGCTTCGTCCTGAAGGTCGTCTGGACTGTCGTTCCACTGTTCAGCCATTCAGTCGATTGGCATATTATGCTTTTAGTATTACAGACAAGGAGCACCTAAACTGAATCAAAATATTTGATAATAGGTCTGGTTCAACCAATTTTAATGGTGTGATTTTCAGAAAGACCTAGCCTTTGAGCTTCAGATTTCATAGGAAAATGGGATTGACAAAAATTAGTCTGCTTTTTAAGAAGTGTTTGTTTGGAATAATGTCACACAGAAAAGTTGCAAGAATAAGAATAGTACATGGCATACCTTTATCCAGATTTGCCTACAGTTAACATTTTATTCCCTTTTTGAATGTATAATCTCTGTGTGTTTTTTTCTTTGAACTGTTTAAGATAAAAATGCGTACGTCATGGACTTTTACTCCAAAATATAAGTGTGTGTTTCCTAAGAATAAGGAATTCTTATACAGAAGCGTAGTACAGGTTTTTAGTACATTTAACTTTATTAACATTAACACATGCTTTAAGCTACTATCTACATTCCAATTTTGCCATTTGACTCAATGTTTTTATAGCAGTTTTTTCTCTTTAATACAGAATCCTGTCTGATATCAGGTATTGGATTCATATGCCATGTCTTTAATTTTCTTTAACTTTTTAAACATTTTTATTTTATTTTTTTACTGTTCACAGTATTTCTTTATTGTTTATTTATCAAGAGAAACTATTCCTTAGCCCAAGTATTCATGTTTCATAGTTCAGGAACTCAGGTCAGTGACCAAGTTCCGTGGAATTCAGCCCAGAGAAATTATTTGCGTTCCAAGAGCACTTTGCACTCTGACCCCAGCCTTCCTCATCTACGCAGAGTCCTTCATGGGGTTATAACTTCTGTGGGAATCTGCACGTGCCTTCTTTTTTTTTTTTTAATATATTTTATTGATTTTTTACAGAGAGGAAGGGAGAGAGATAGAGAGTTAGAAACATCGACGAGAGAGAAACATCGATCAGCTGCCTCCTGCACATCTCCCACTGGGGATGTGCCCGCAACCCAGGTACATGCCCTTGACCGGAATCGAACCTGGGACCTTTCAGTCCGCAGGCCGACGCTCTAGCCACTGAGCCAAACCGGTTTCGGCTGCACGTGCCTTCTTGGTGGGTCCCCACACCCCGCTGCCAGGACGCTGCCGGCCCCAGGGCACAGAGATGGCTCCAGCAAGCGAAGCCTCGGACGGGACGCGGGGCCAGAGGCCGCTGAGGCCTTGTCAGTCCTGCAGGCAGTGCTTTCCCCGCAGCACAGCACCTTCCTGCTGGAGACGGGCCTGCTGCCCGCGAAGCACCACAGCCTTTGTGATGTGTTCTCATTCCAAAGGAGTATTTCTCATGGGAGTTTCTGCTCTTTTCTCCTGGCTAATTCAGCTTATGCCCCAGACAGAGCTGCGGGGTGAGGTCGTGTCCTCGGCATCGTGTGCCGTCCGCTCCTCCTGTGGTGGCGTCACCCAGTCGGGGCGTTGTCCGATGGCTCCCACTGCCGGCTTATCCCCCACGTGCAGCCTGGACGCAGTCGTGAGGTGCTTTAGACCAGGCAGACACCCTGCTCCTCACGGAAAGCCCTCAGCCGCCCATTAGCATCCACTCGGCTCCTGCTGACCCATCTCTGACGATGGCACAGCAATGCTCTCCCACCCCAGCCCGCCCTCTCCACTTGCCGGCGGCTTCAGCGTCCTTCCTTTCCCTCGTTTGTATTTTTTAAAAAGATGACATGATTAGCTCTTAGTTATCAAAACCTCAGTGTACGCAAAGCCAGCGGTGCTTTCTTACTCTTGTTTATTTGGGAAAAGACATGGAATAAAATGGTTAAGTGGCCATTCACATGTAATTGTTCATCTTTTATAAAAAATATTTTTATTGATTTCAGAGAGGGAGAGAGAGAGAGATGAAGAGAATCATTGATTGGCTGCCTCCTACACGCCCCCGACTGAGGATTGAGCCTGCAACCCGGGCATGTACCCTGACCAGGAATCAAACAGGATCTCCTGGTTCATAGATCCATGTTCAACCACTGAGCCACACCGGCCAGGCTGTCATTGTCTTATGTTTTAAGCTTGTAATACGCAGTTCAGGATTTTAGAATAATAAATCAGCTTCTTTTCTGTTAAGTACTTTTATAGCCTCTTTTTAATACTCTTAGATGCAAGTGATTTTATTATTTATGTAGGTATTCCTGCTTTAATGTGGTTTTAGGTTCATGCAAAATGGATTTTGGACACTGATGTGTTCAATGAATGGATGAATGAGGAGGACTATGAGGTGGATGAGAACAGGAAGCCCGTGAGTTTTCGACAGCGAATTTCAACAAAGAATGAAGAGGTATTTGGTTCGGCACCATTTTTCTCTACTAGGTGTTCCTTCTTTTTTGGCCTGAATGTTCTCAAATGTTCATTGATAAACGGTCACATACACACCCAGGTGCATCCGCCCTCGAGTGCATGTGAAAGTGGCACCGTCTCAGGAGCTGGCACCTCCATGAAGGGGCCGGGCAAGTCAGGGTCACTAAGATTAGAAGTGGCCGTGCGGCATGACCGTGGTCCAGCTGGTTATGGCCTCGAGAGCTGAGTTTTAATTTGATTTCCAAATACATCACAGGGTAATTTAACTGAGTTGTTGGTTTCCCAAGGGAAGACTCATTTAGTTTTAATATTTTGAATGGCTTTGTTACTCACATGCAGTGGTCAGTACAAAGCATAGGCCTCAAAGGTCTCAGTGACAGTTGAGTCCGTTTTTGAGGTGGGAAGACGTGCTCTTTAATGCTCTACTCATTTAAGAAGCCCACCCACTAAACACTTGCCTGTGGTTCCTTGTAGGTCACAGCTGGTGGGGTGGGCGTGTCACTGAAAGCCCGGAGGCCGAGAAGGCAGCGTCCGCGTGTCTGGGTTGGGTTTGTGGTGGCCTCTACGGTCTCAGTGACAGTTGAGTCCGTTTTTGAGGTGGGAAGACGTGCTCTTTAATGCTCTACTCATTTAAGAAGCCCACCCACTAAACACTTGCCTGTGGTTCCTTGTAGGTCACAGCTGGTGGGGTGGGCGTGTCACTGAAAGCCCGGAGGCCGAGAAGGCAGCGTCCGCGTGTCTGGGTTGGGTTTGTGGTGGCCTCGGGTAGAGACCTGCGATTCTAGAGTCCTTTTCAATGGGGACGGTCAAATCTGGGGGTTTTGTTTTTTATTTTAGTTTTTATTAAATCTTTGAGACAAATACACCTTTAACCTTTCACTTAGAAAGTGCGAGTCTCTCATGCCGTGTTCAGCCCCGTGTGTTTCTTCTCTGTCACACTGTGTGCTCTTTATTTTTAAGACTATTTTTAAACTAGTTTTTTTTTCATTTTTTAGTTTGTTCCTATTTGCTTTGGAATATCACTTTAAATTTTTTTATTTTGGCCTCTTTCTCTAATATGTTTACATATTTGTTTTCCCTTAATGCATTTCAAACCAAATCTTTGTGTCATCAGGAATATTCTAATTTCCATATCACATTATTGAACTGGCCTGTTCCTGTCCACCCCTTATAAATTTAGATGGGTTGTTTATTCACTTATCTTTAGGGGGGATTATATAAAATTGATCTAATATGCCTTTAAAAAATTTAACTTCAGATTTACATACTCATCCAAGGTGTGTGTAGTTTAGGTTTTCTTCCAAACTTCTCTTCCTGGCTCTCACGATGCTCAGGTCCCCTCTGACTGGCCCGAAAAGATGGAAGTTTAATTGATACTTCAGCTCTGATATTTGGGAGCGAGGGACACCTCAGATTCCATTCTTTGGATCATTTGGGGGTTTTCTTTATTGTGTCTGTTGTGTAGATTGGCAGTTGGCTTCTACAGGTTGACTTCTGTATATTGATCTGTACCCTGCACTGATGAACTCACCTGTAGCTGGGGTAGTTGTTCTGTGGATTTCTGAGGGTTAATGCCACCTGCAAGTCGGGATAGTCCTATAGGTTGACTTTGCAATCTTATTTCACATCTTTTGTATCAAAGTTATCTTTTATCTTTATTTTACTGACGAAGTAGTAGTAGTTTCTGGAACATTTTCCCAAGCTTATTCAGCCTGTCTTTGTATTTTATTAATTTAATAACAAGTTTTATATTTTTCTACTAATTGCTGGACATGTTTTTCCCTCCTGGAAGCCCCGGTTGTGAGCAGGGTCGTTTTCGAGGTGGGCTCGGGCGGGTCTGTTCTGTAGGGAAGTGGAGGCCTGGGGCTAGTGCTGGCGGTTCCGTTGGTGACGCGGCACCTGAAGGCGGGAAGTCTCTTGGCTGCGGGTGGCCAGGATGCTGGTGATGTGCCCTGCCTTTGCTCTGAGCTCGTGTGTTTGTTACTGTCTTTGTGAAAATGCACTTTGGGGCAAGGGCTCGTAGAAACTGAGGCGTCGGCAGAGCCGGCTGCTGCTCATTTCCATTTACCTCTTCCAGCCAGTGAGAAGTCCCGAGAGAAGAGATAGGAAGGCGTCAGCGAGTGCTCGGAAGAGGAAGCACTCGCCCTCCCCGCCACCCCCCACGCCCACAGAGTCACGGAAGAAGAGTGGGAAGAAAGGGTAAGCGCCAGCCGGGCAGACCCCAGGGGCGTCCTCGGGGCGCCCTGCACAGCGGGAGCTCAGTCCCTGAATACAGTCTTTCTTCTGCGTCTAAGTCTGTATTGAGGATGGTTGCTAAAGGGTTTAGGACATTACATTCATCCTCGTTAATGTCTGTCCGTGTCTCTGATTTTGTTACCTGTCCCATTTGTGATCAAAATAATTCATACAGGACATGAACGTATGGCTTAAGGCCCTGTATAGTGCATGGCCTGAAGTAGATCCACCTAATAAATGGTAGAGAATACTTAATAATTTTCATAGTTAGCTCAAAATATTTTAATAACATTTATAAATAACACTCATGAACCAGCCACAGTCATAAAAATGATTTTACTATTTTCTCAAGCTGCATGTATGTGTATATTGTGAAGACCTTACCAAGGACATGGAAGACCCAATATAGACCCAAGTTAATACCGTAAAAGTAGATTTCTCTTCAGGGATTATTGAGGGCAACCTTATTTCTTAAATATCGAAGCTGAATCTTGATGTTCAGATATTTCGGACCCACCTGCGATCCTGCGAAGAAGCTGGAAATCCATGTGCTCCTCTTCCCGTTGGGGCCAGCAGGGGCCCAGGGCGCTCGTGGGCATTGGGCTGAAATGCCACCTCCCGGGCTCACGGTGGTGGCATTCGGACTCTCCTCTGAGTTTCCTACAATGAATGCTGTGTGTCCTTCAGTTGCCTGTATCTGTTTTCTAATGAGCGGGCCTTTGCTCACTGAAGTTTCCCCTTAGGGTCCTATATTAACCAAAATCTGTTTTCTGAATGTTTGTTTTATTCATCTTCCCTGCATCTTTTCTTCCCTTTTTACATTTTTTATCTGCCCACCACCTTTAGGTTCATAGGCCTTTTAAAAATTGTCATGTCATTTTTGTTTGAAAATTTCAACCTGTATCCCTGTCTAACCCAGCGGTCGCCAGCCAGTGGTCTGCGGATCTCTGGTGGTCCGTGAGGTCCGAAGGTTGGCGATCGCTGGCCTAACCAGTACCGACATGCTGCCCCTCTTAGAAGGGAAGGGTGAGTGTTCTCTCGGAGTGGAGGCCTCGGGCTGGTCCATCCTGTGTCTCCATCCCCACACCCCTGGTCAGTCCCTCCTGTACAAGTTATTTTTTTCTTACATCTTTACGCCTTTACTCATCATTCTGAAACATTGCCTGCTTCTCAGTGAATTGTCACTGTTCCCAAGGTTCGGCTTGGCTGTCGCCTGCAGTCTGGGCTGTTTTTCTGAGCTTTATTTTCTTGGTGCCTTTATTCCTTCCTCTGCATTGGCATGCACCATTTACCTCTTCCAGCCAGTCAGAAGTCCCGATGTATGAGTTAGGTAATGATTCCTCAAGGTAAGGAACCATTCCATTCTTGTTTGAAGTTTAACGGGCATTCTGGCATGTATTCGTTTTGACAATAAATATTGATGTGATTGAATTGGTGAAAGAGCAATGGCAGTTTTTACAAAAAGCATTAGTACCAGGTTAGTATCATCCTAACTGATTCTGCTTTGTACTTCCTGGTATTTGAATGATATAAACAGCCAAGAAAATACAGTGTTTTATATCTCTGACAAAATATCTTACGTAAGTGATGGTTTATGACCTGAGCAAATACGTCCCGCATTTCCATAGCAGATGTTCTTCCTTACACCAACGTCAGCCTCTTCTAGGATACGGTTTGCAATTTGTGTGGTAGGATTTTGTGTCTGTTTCTGTGCCTCGTAACTTTATTTTCCTTCTGGCTGTACTTCGGGGGATGTGTCTAATTTGATTTCACTTGTCTTTTAACGTGATTCTGGGCATAGATTCTGACCACAATGAAGGGGGAGCCTCTGAAACTGCTTGCTGTGAATCACTATCATCGTCCTGTTTATCTTTCACGTGCTCTTGCTGTTTCAGCCAAGCTAGTCTCTATGGGAAGCGCAGGAGTCAGAAAGAGGAAGAGGAACAAGAAGACCTCACCAAGGACATGGAGGACCCCACACCTGTGCCCAACATCGAGGAAGTGGTGCTCCCCAAAAACGGTTTGTGCTCTCCTGTCTGGTCTGGGGTGTTCAGCAAGCTTGAGGCATCTCAGCAATGCCCTGGGGGCTGACTTCCCGCTCTGTGCCCGCCTCTCAGCGTTCAAGTGCAAATAGATTCCCCCTTTTAATGTTAGCGTTTATGCAGTTCCTCTTTCCCCACCTTTTGGTACTTTTTGTTTATTGGGAAGATACACTGTGACCAAAATGTCTGTATTTAGTAATATCTTAAAATTCATGTTTTAAAAATCCCAACAGAATCTATATAGATGAGGAAAGGCGGGTGCTTTTCTATGTGCCAGTTAGGCTTTCAGCTCAGTCCCTGGGAAGAGGATGTGCCCTAACTGTGCCTGTGGGCCTGTAAATTGTCCTTCACTCCTGGGCAGTTGTTTTCGTGGCTTTGAAGCTCTGCTATTCAGGGCATATGCGTTTAGGGTTGCCATGTCCTCTCGGTGGCTTGGCTCTTCATTCCAGCACTTTACGTTCCCCTGAAAAGAACCCTGGTACCTACTCGGGTCCAAATTACCCCTCCCCCACCCTGCAACCACTGCTATACTTTGTCTCCAGATTTTCTATGCTCTATTTGCTTTTTATCTAAATTTTTTGTAGTTGTAAGTATTAAATGTATCCTTAATTTATCAACTAAATTTAGAATCACTATTGTCTAGTTGAGAAGAAGGTGTGAAATTTACCATAATGTAAGGTATGCCCTTTCCTGTCTTTTGTAACGGAACATGCAATCACCTATAACATGTCACATGCATTTCTGAAATCCTTGCATTGTGTCGAATGGGGCACTGCAAACCACACAAAGGTACTTTACAGGTCATGTGGAAGGTAATGCTTATAAAAGTAATCAACAGATTTAGTTGAGATAAAAGTGCTGTGAAGGTGCTGGTAGTCCTTACAGATCCCTAAACTATCTTTTATAATAATAAAAGCGTAATATGCTAATTAGACTGGACAGCTGAATGACCTTCCAGATGTCCTTCCGGACGAAGCCGGGGCTGCAAGGGCCGAGCCCTTGCACGCATTCCATGCACCGAGCCTCCAGTAAAGCTACCATGATCAGTGTGGGGTGGTGGGACAGAGCAATGGCTGGATGCATCAGTGGAATAGAATGGCCAGCTCAAATGTAGACCCATGTATATGTGCTCATTATACATGCATGATGATAAGGAGAAAGGAATGTTGATTATAGGATAGTGGAAAAGTTAAGATCTGGTTTCAATAAAAAAATATAGGGCTGGTTACTTTGTAATCTATACACGGACACACGGGATCTGTTGAAAATGAAAGGGACGTACTGTAACTAGGAATTACATGGAAGTATCACACAGGCACACAGGCACATGAGGGAAGTGGAGCGCGAAGGACAGTAGGAATAACGTTCATGTAAGAATTTACATCCTCAGAATAGGTTTCAAAGTCACATAGGTGTGTAAAAGGTATCATTTCTCCCTCAGTTTATCTAAACAAATGGCACAAAAATGTGAATCAACACATACACAAGAAACTAATAACATGCTTTTTTTAGGAAAGGGATTGAAAGCTGCTTTTTCTGTTTTGCTCTCTGTGTCTACTTTTATGATGAGCACGTTTGGGTGCTTTGTAATCAGTTACAGATGTAGGGTCACATCGCATGGGCTGCTTCTCGAGTTGGGGTTTGATGGTGAGGACTGAGGGACGGGGCACTCGCAGTGAGGTTTGCGTGTTTTTAAATCTAGTCTATTCTGTTTTTCTCCTAAAAACAAGTAGAACTTTCCCCCTGAAACTGCTTTTTTTTCTTCTAGTAAATCCAAAGAAAGATAGTGAGAATACACCTGTGAAAGGAGGAACTGTAGCTGATCTAGGTAAAATCAAAAACACCTACCCATGTCTGTGTTGTGTCCTGTCTGATAGCAGCTCCTCTGATGTTTGTCTTTATTGAGAAATGTTGCTCTCAGTTGCTGTACTTCCCGACAGATCTCGGTTGCAGTTCCCTTCAGCAGCATTGTGGTTTGGTTTGCTACCATACTAGGAACGTTGATTTTCTGTGATCCGTTCTTTTCCGTCTTTAATCATGATACTATGTTCTGATATTATACATGAATCAGAATTTCTGAGTTTTAAAGAAACTGTTGGTAGTTCAGTTACTCGCAGTGCCTTAGTCACTGCTAACGATCATAGTAATTAAAAAGAAAACAAAATGTCACCGAAACTTAATGTGATCATTTGTGACAGAATCTCTCACCTTTATCACACTGGCCCTTTCCCTTCCCGGGAAGTCAGCCGCCTGGTTTAATTGCTCGTGGGTTTGCTCCTGTCCTCTGTGAGGCCACACTGAGGGCCTGCATCCCCTCGCCTCAAGGTACCAGCCCTCTTACAGGACGTGGTCTGTGGGGAGGGAGCGTAACTGCTTTCTGCACTCCTCATTCCTTACACACTTCCTCTGGGATCCGAAATGCCATTCCTTGCTTCACAGCCTCAGGAGGCAAGAGCCTAGTGAAGCCCCTATCCTAGTAGGTAAGATCATGACCAGCAGTAATTAATTATAAATTCCCTCGTGTTGGAAATTTTAAATTATTTATGCTTTGAATCTCTCCTCACCTCTGTGAATGATTTGAGGCGGGTTTGCTTTAGTTCTCCATTCTCTTTTTTTGTCCAGTGTCAGTTACTGAAACCTTCACTTTCTAAGAAGTCCAAACAGCTTTCCCTGCTTTTTAAATAAAGGATGTGTTTTGGTTTTACAGACGAGCAGGATGAAGAGACGGTCACAACAGGAGGAAAGGTAACGATTCAGTTAGGTCCTTAGAAGTACTCTGTTTTGAGGCCCTTGTGATTTTAAATATCTTTTTTAACATACCCCCAAAGAATTTGTGCTTCTTGACCCCAAAGTTTTATCAAAAGGAAATTTCCATCTTCCCAGCAGTGCCCTGGGGAAGCAGTGATTTTGAAATTACTGTTAGAAAACCAGGTTTTTAGGTGGAATCACTTGCAAAGCCTCCATAATTTATATTCTGATATAAATCAGGTAGTTTTTAGTAGCGGGAGTGATTGAGAGTGTAGGCCTCTCGCTGGGCCCCCTGTAGTTATATCTTGATGACCGTTTGTTAGCTCTGTATCATTGTCTCGCCACAAAGCAGGTGATGAGTAGCACCTGCTGCTCTTGTCGGGCGTCAGTGAGATGGTGCACACAGAGTTGTTAGCAGGTGCTCGGTGCTCAGTCTTTGGGATGGGAGGCCCTGTCATTATGCCTTGCTCATGTCCTGGAGTCAGCTCCTTACAATAACTTGAGAACTAATAACAGGTTTGGGATCCAATCCAGGTAAAGCGTAATTTGGACAAGTAAGGAACATGCCATGTGAGAGGCGTGGGCAGTGAGCTGCCTGCCTCACTGTAGAAACAGCCGTTCTTTAATCAGCGTGAGATCTAACCTTGCTGTGGGGCACTTACCTTGTGTGTGTTGATCCCCTCACGTGTAAAAGGCAGGAGTAAAACCTGCTGTCTCGCCTGGACAGCTCGTGAAGGTGCCTTAGAGATTGTGAACGACTGTTTTCACTTGAAATTTATTTTCCCAGTCCTTGAAATTGGAACCAATAGCTTCATTTTCTGGGACGTGATATCAGAGGTTTGAAAGCTGTTACATGTCTGTAGTTCTCCCTTTCTCTTCACTTCGGCTTCTTTCCTGCAGGAAGATGACGACCCCAGCAAAGGGGATCAGAGTCGGTCAGTGGACCCTGGTGAAGATAATGTGACAGAGCAGACCAATCACATCATCATTCCCAGCTACGCGTCCTGGTTTGACTATAACTGGTGAGGAGGCCCTACCTCTGTGAACGTGGGACTGGGAGTGGGAAACGTTCCTTGAAGTCTAAGGGGGAAATATACTCGGGGGTGAAAAAGGGGCAGGGATTAAGCAAAATACACATCTCGTAGACGACAGCAATATGGTGACTTCCAGAGGGTGGTGGGAGGAGATAGGAGACCGTTCAGAGGTGGTAAATGGTGATGAAAAGAGACGTGACTTGGGGTGGTGAACACACAGTACAGTGTACAGGTAGAGAACTGCACCCCTGAAAACTAATCTTGTTAACCAGTGTCAGCCCAATAGATCAATAAAATAAGTAAATAAGAAAAAAGATGAAGGTTGTATGATCTTTCTAAAAGCAGTAAACGCCTAAATAATTTTTAAAATTCAATTCACCACAAAGTTTCTGAGGGCTGGACAGGACGGTGCAGGGGTGTGAAGAGCCTGAGAACCTGATTATTGCGAAGTCCATTGTCTTCTGGCTTGTCCTTCATTTTACCAGTTTGTTGCCATGCCAACTACTGTGATTTTTGTCACCCAATTTCCAAAGAGCTCTTTCCGTCTTGTAGCTCATCTAGTGATTATGTATATGACAACAGCTGAGTAAAGTCTGTGGCTTTCAGTGTGTTGACAGCACTTTTTTGAGTTTGGTTATAGGAGTGGAAAAACTACAGAAAGTACTGGGGTGAGGAAGGGAGCGCTTTCCTTAACTCTGTGACACACTGAATGCGCAGGAGATGTGCAGAGCCAGTTCGCTTTTGCGAGGAGTGCTCACCTTTTAGACTTACAGTTTTGCTTTGAAATTTAAGCTTAGCTCACATTTTGAGATTTTTATTTTCCAGAGAGTACTTACTCCCGGTCCTCTTCTTTCCTTTTCTGTCCAGTATTCACGTGATTGAACGGCGTGCTCTTCCTGAGTTTTTCAATGGAAAAAACAAATCCAAGACTCCAGAGATGTGAGTGACATGTGCTGATGGGATGCTGATACCGCCACATACTTAGTGGGGCTGGTCTTCAGAGAAATTGTGTGTTTGGCGGGGTTCCTAACGCATACTTCTGAGTTAATGTTTGCAAATATTTTATTCCGTTCAGAGCAGTGTTCATATCTCTGCTGCACAGAATTCCTTACCTCAAGGAAATTGCTTCCGATTTTTTTCTTTCTCAACCTGGAACTACATACATGTCAGCTCTTGCAGCTAAAGTTTGAGTTCAGTAATGGTTTTTCACTAAAACTGTTCAGGGTACTTTCTAACAATTCCCACCGTGTATGTACATATGTGTTATGAGCTATAGATACTTAAATGTAACTAGAGGCCCGGTGCACGAATTCGTGCACCAGTGGGGTCCCTCGGCCTGGCCTGCGGGATGGGGCTGAAACCAGCTCTCTGACATCCCCCGAGGGGTCCTGGATTGTGAGAGGGCGCAGGCCCGGCCCAGGGACCCTACCGATGCACGATCGGGGCCAGGGAGGGACGTAGGAGGTTGGCCAGCCGGGGAGGGATCGCAGGAGGGCTCCAGGGCGTGTCCGGCCCATCTGGCTCAGTCCTGATCAGCAGGACCCCAGCAGCAAGCTCACCTACCAGTCGGAGCATCTCCCTCCTGGTGATCAGTGCACGTCATAGCGAGCGGTGGAGCAGCCTTAGCATATCATTAGCATATTGTGCTTTGATTGGTTGAACTGCCAGCCGGACGACTGGACACTTAGCATACGAGGCTTTTATTATATAGGATAATTGAGGAGAAAATGGAATTTTCACCTTATTTTTCTGATGAATGACTGGTCCTTAAAAGGATGCCAGAGAGGATGATACAGCTGCACAGGAATCGCTCTTCGCTGCGTGACGTATGGTTGTGCTTTTGCCTTGGAAATAGTAAGACTTGCTGGGAGGAAGACGTTTGTCAGGACATATATTTTGCCTTTGCCTGGGGATCGTTAAATACACACTTCTAGAAACCCTCACCCCTAAATAAGTCAGCACCAATCATACTATCAATATCTTTCCATTTATTATCTTCATTAGAGGCCCGGTGCATGAAAATTCACACACTGGAGGGGGGTCCCTCAGCCCGGCCTGCCCCCTCTCACAGTCCGGGAGCCCTCAGATCAGGGGAAGGTGACGCCCCCATCACACCTCTGCTGCTGCCACTGCCGGCAGCACAAGCCTCAGCCGGCCCTGGTTACCTGAGCCTCGGGCGGCCCTGGGCAGCTGGGGGCGCTGAGGGGACTGGGCACTGCCATCTTGTGGCTGTGGGCGCCGCCATATTTGAGGGTGTGACAGTCAATTAGCCTATCCCTACATATTGGCTGTGGGTGCCGCCATCTTTGTGACGGTGTGAGGGTCAATTAGCATATCCCCTCTTTATTAGATAGGATAGTGTTAATCTTGTCTGTTACATACATGTGACTGCAAAATAGATGTCTCTTGTTTAAATTGTTAGGGAAGGAGGATGGGATCATGCACATGTGCCGGGGGTTGTTAGGGGGAGGATGG